TTGTATTCACTTGGTCAAGTATCTGAGTACTTACTCCACAAAAAAAAGACAGGTCCGCTGAGAAGACTTGTGCAAAGGAGGCCAAGAATAGTCAGAAAGGGACAGATCCTTGGRAGGGAGTCTGGGATGTCAGAGCTAACAGCAGGTCCTAGGAGCTCTTACGCTGGCATTCCAGGTACAGGCGAACGCGGAATTGGCCAGAGGCGACACACTGTTGCTTTCACTGAGCTGCTGTCTACAGGCCCCTAAACCAGGTCAGTGATGACAGCGGGAAACAAAAAATAAAAGAATCAGCAGAACCAGCAACTGAGCGGACATGGAGAGAGAAAGGCTGATCGAGCCCTGTGGGGCTGGTGTTGGGAGGGTGGGAAGTGTGGAAAGTGCTTAAGGGCACCAAACTGGAGTGGCTTAGGAGTTGCAGCTGCACCCTGAGGCCCCCATTTAAAAGAAGACCCTGAGATTTGCCCTGCATTTGAGGTCAGGAGCTTTTAATCCAGAAAGCAGCATTCAGCGCCTTGGCCACCAGGAGGGAACCCACTCTCCATTTTTGCAAGGAATGCCAGCTGACCTTCACCAGAATGTGTATCCACACAAAAGGAGTGCATCCTGGGTGTAAGGCCACCTTCTCAACAAGCAAAAGGGACTCTGCTACTGAGCACAGAGCCCACATGCCAGGGGCTGAGAAACTGAGAAAACTGAGTTCTTAAAAACAGTGTTTTAAGAGGCCAACCCAATTCCCCTGAATCCAGAGCAATTCCCCAGGCTTTTTTATACACAGTTCCCTTGGTCTCCTAAGTACCTGGCATGAGGCGCTACCCAGGAAGCACTTAACTACTTACTGACTCAATCACTGTTATCCAAGAAATGAGCACTCTACGCAGTTTAGTGACCAAGACTCTTAAACGCTCTGGAACTAAAAAACATCCTACTGGGAGAGTTGCTTAACATCAGCAATTATTTCTTCATATTGGTTTTTTCCTGTTGTTCCAAGAAGTTCTGCAAACAGTTCTAGAACGAGCCACAGGGGCCAGCTGAACAAATTCTATTAATTCGAAACAATTCATAAAGTTTACTAACATAGGTTATATAAAGATGCTTCTTTTATAAACCATTTACATTCTAAATATAGGCTTCTTTATAATGTATGTAGTAAAAAAAAAAAAAAAAAAGTTGGAGAAACCTTAGGTCCTGGAAATGTTATTAAGAATCAGCTCTACTGATATGTCCAAGTAACTTTAAACACACTCTCACATCTTTGAAGGAGCTGGCTTCACCATAATAGGATTTGTGCTAATTTAATGTACCACGGTTAAAACGCCAAGATGTTAGAAGGCATTTTTCTATATTGCCATTTACCTTAGTGGCAATGAGAAAAAGGAGCACAACTTATCGATTCAGAGTAATGTCTTAGCCCAAGTAGTACCTCAGACTCTGCCTTGCTCCCTCTTAACCCCCAAACATCCACACCTGCTCACAAAATAACAGATACCATCCAGAGGCAGATAGGAGACCAAGAAACCCCAACAAAAGTTTAACTTAACTCAGGCACCTAGTTTGGGGCTTCCTGGTAATGCAAAATTATTTAACACATCTATTCAGAGCTCTCAAGTTGGCCTTTAGTGGCTCAATCCACAAATACAACATATCAAAGAGGAAAGATGAAGACAAGGTACTACTCACTGGAGCAGGAGAAAAAAAAAAAAAAGTTTTCCAATTTTGTATCAAATGTGTCCGGTTAATGGTACTGTGAGAACAAGGGCACCACAGTCCACTTTTAAGTTATCTTTATTGCTGAGCTGTTCCTTGGACTTTCAGAAGTAGGAGGAATTCTCTGTTCTCTGATGGGCAGTGCAAGATGTACATAATCTGCCCTGGCCTTGAACAATGGGGGATGTGGGCTAAGTGTGTGCACTACTGGGAGATAGGGGTAGGTGGGGGAGGCCGCTTAAGTCTGAAGACATTAAGTAGGGAGAGCCCCTGGTGCTAGATTAAGTCATACTAATTCTGACCAATAGGCCCAGAGCCAAATCCTTTCCTTCAGAGTTACAGGAATTTAATCTCTGGATACAAGGCAGGTATTGTAGGAGAAACAGCATGAAGAGTGTGGCTGTTAGTTCTATGTAACACACTAAAGTAACTTAAAAAGTTATGAACTTTTGTTTGGTAACAATATAGGAGTATCCTAGCAGGAAAAAAACAAAAATTTAAACTTTGATGTTTTATGGGACACTCCTTGCAGCTACCTGAACAATTATATACAATATACCAAACCTTCTTTCTAAAAACTTATTGAGAATATATGTACTCTAAAGCTATGGGCTACTTTAAGAGACAAGGTTTCATTTATCTGAATTAAGAGCTGACTCCAGAGATACTAAGTTTACCATTTTCCTAAGCAAGAATGTCAAAGAATAGAACCCATGCTGGTCCAGCTCCCACAGCTTTCCAGAAAGCCAAGTCAGCATTGCTAAGCCCCACCCACTTCAACTGCAGGGTCTAAWGGGACAGATCTCAATCCCTCAATAATACCTCTGGGGATTTAAGGCACAGTACAATTCTTGGTAAGCTCTCCTACTACCCTATCCGCAGCCTGGCTTGCTTCCTGGCTTGCTGCCTTGCCGAGTTATTCAGGTTGAAAGGTTGGTGTGGCCAACAATGGCCACCCTCATCCCACTGCAAGGCAGCTGGGGCAGACGGCGGGTCTTTTTTAGAAGGATTTAATAATCCTAACTTTATTTCCTAGGATGATTCAGTCTCCTAATCCTTCTACCAAATATTTGTCACAATGCAAAGGATTRCATACACTGTCTTGATAAAAGTTTACTGTAAGAGCACTTTACCTACTTCATCGTACGAATGTGATACCTCCATCTTAAAAAAATAATAATAATTACTATAAAAGGGGCTGGGGTTGTGGCTCAGTGGTAGCGCGCTTGCCTAGCATGCGTGAAGCACTGGGCTCGATTATCAGCACCACATTCAAATAAATAAAATAAAGGTCTATCAATAACTAATTTTAAAAAATTAAAAAGGAAGCAGGTTCCCCTTAAGACAAGGAATTAGGGCCCTGCAGAAGACTTCCTCTGCACAAAAAAATAAAAATAAAAGTAAAAATTTTAAAAAAAAAGCACAACCAGCGGGCTGAAATGGTCCACCTCTAACAGTTGCAATGTCTTGCTTTCTCAAGGGAAACTCGCCAAGCATCGCCCCTGGAGTCCTCCCTCTCTTGGACAAGGGCACCCTTCGGTTTCCTCGCCCGCCGGCGTGTTCCGTTTAGGTACACAGGCTACCAACCTGTGCTCTTCAAATTCCTCGTCCTCCTCCTACTCCCCTCCCACTCGGCTCCTCCTGCCTGGCGACTTGTGCGAAAGGGTTTCGTGAATGCGACACCTCCAGGGACAGCCGCGCCTCGGTGCCACCGTCGGCACCGCTATCCGAGTCAACTGACTCGCCATGGCTTTTAGCCTAGGCGGTAAGCAAGTTTCATTCCCAAAAGGGGAGGAACCAGGTTTCACAGACACCGTATTCTCGAGAACTTTCGGAGAGACGCGCGGTGCCCAAGTCACTCGCTCGGATCCCTTGGCTGCTTTCGCGGTGTCCACATTCAAGTGGGATGAGTCCAAGAACATTTAAGGAAGGATCTCTGACCTTTCCTTGAAACTCAGGCCTTGGAACCGAGCCTAGGAAGCACCCCTCCCCTGCCCGGCCAGATGCAAGTCCCAGACCGCTGCGTCTCCAACTGCGCCTCTTAAAACCGCCGGATTCGAATTCACTCTCGGCCGACGGCTCCGAGGAGGCGTACGAGTCCGCGGGAACACAGAGGCAAGCCCGAGGGAGCGCTAGCACGCCAAGGGTGGTAGGGGGCGTTGTCTGATCTTGGCCAGGAAGGAGCTGAAGGCGCCCATCATTTGCTCCTTAGCCGCTCCGCCTGCGCCGGGCCAGCGCGCAGCCCGCGGGACTCCTGGAGCAGGAACTTGCTAAAGTTTGCCAAGCCCCGGGGCGCAGTCTCGGAAAAGTTTTAGCGCTCTCTCGGAGCTTTTCTGGCTCTTGGGAGCGCGGTGCGTAAAGGACGGGGCATTCTTCGAGGGAGCAGGAGGGTACAGGAGCTGGGCACCTGTCCGCACCTCCCCKCCTGTCCTGGAGCTTCCCAGCAAGCACCACAAAAATTGGAGCACCGTTGGGTAGGAAAAGACCCTTGAAGCCCGCCGCTGCATCCTAGCACCTTTGGAGGAGGAAACCGTGTACTCACCTGGGAGGTGGAAGAGAAGGCAACAGAGGCTGGTCCTTGGCTTGGGCAGCCCCCCGTAGGAGCGGCGCGGTCACTAGAGCCCCCAGGCAGTGGCACCGAGTGAGCCGTCCAGCCGCCGCCCCCTCCGTTCTTATTCTGCCTGACCACGCCCCCGCCCGCCGCCCCCGCCCCTGCCCCCGCCCCAAGGCCGGCCCTCCCGAGGGAGCCAGTGGCGGGGCGAGGCGGAGCCTGCCCCTCGGGATCCTTCCGCTGGGGCGCTGACGGCAGGGCAGGGCGGACGGAGCCCTCTGATTGGCTGCTCGGCTGAATGGTTGCCGAGAGACGAGTAAATCTTCGGCGGCGGGAAGGGGCGGGGTGGGAAGGGAGGTAGCACCGCGCAGGCGCAATAGAGAGGGGCAGCGTTAACCGGGTTTGAACTTGGTGGTTACCGGGACACTTCTCTTTCTGTTGTCCTCTTAATTCTTTTCTGCTGCTATGCCTTTCGTGTAAACCTTCACCTTCCCGCCATGGCTTTTTCTGCGCCTTCGCAGACCTGGGAATTTTCGCACAGCTGCTCCTTGGCTGCAAAAGTAAGGAACGAGCCAGACGCTCAGCCTACCTCCGACGTGTCTGTGAAGTTCGGAAAAAAAACTGCAGAGTTTCTGGGCGCCGGGGAGCTTCATGATTCCCCAAGCAAATTGGCTGGAGGTGAAAAAGTGGTCTTGGGGAAGGCGCGCAGTTGGTGGTTCTTTGGCATCAGGGAGCCACTCACCTGTGTGCAGTTAATGGGGCTTACGAGCCTCAGGGAACCCATCACCAATCCTGGCCACCACCATAGCTTTTGCCCTGCTCAGAATGCCACAGGGCTTAGTCGTGTATGTTATATAACATGCAGGCGGGGCCTGGACACCGTCCATTCATTCCGTAGCAAGGGGTTGACCGCCCAGATTCCGAATTCAGACTAACTTGAGTGGAGATCTTCATTCACCATTTCAACTATCTGTGAGGTCTTGGGCAAGTCATTAACTCTTTATATACTGCCATTTCCTATCTGTAGAATGGAACCAAGAATGAGACAGCTTTGTAGGGTTATATAAATATTAAGTAAAAAAAAAAATACTTGGAAAGGTATTAGTTGGTTAAGTACTTGATATAAAGTGTATATAAGGGCTATTTATGCCCAATAGTAGCCAATGTTGTTGATTACAACTTTTATTTATCTTCTACCAGTGATGTGAGATGGCTGGTTGTTCCAGTATTGGTCCTGTCCAATTTTTAATCTAAAAAGAGGATGCATATTTCATTGTGATCTAAATTTTTCATTTCCCTGATTATTGAGCAACTTTTTAGATGCTTCTTGGCCATTTTGATATGCTTTTAGTGAAGTGTCTGTTCAAAGCTTTTGTGCATTTGTGGAGAGTTGTCTGTCTTAATGACCCCATACCCTGGATGGTTCTTTGTCTAATATATCTATTAAAAATACCTTCTCGAATCTGTGACCTCCTTTTTATTATTTTAATATTGTCTTTTGATGAACCGAAATCCTTAATTTTAAGTAAGTCCAATTTATTGCTCACCTTTTATAACTTGCATTTTGAGTCCTGTTTAAGAAATCCCTGCCTATCCTAAGGTCATAAAGATAATCTGTTTTCTCGTAAAAACTTGTTTTAACTTTTGTTGCCTGTAAAGCTTTGTGCAAGTAACAACCATCCTTTCATAAACTTCCAATCACAAGAAAAAATAATGAAAATAATTACATTGTCTTTTAGACTGCTTCTACTTTTTCATTGCCTCCTGGATGCCATTTGCACAGGTAGCCTCAAGGAAGGGCAGAAATTCTTAATCTAAAATTTGATCTTGCATGTTTTAGTTCCACTTTGGCTTAGATGAAATTTTGTTCAACTCCCTGAAAAAAAAAATTAGATAACTCTGGTGAGGAAGAAGGGAGAACCAAGAAGCAGCAAAGAAATTTCTCATATTCATACATGTGTATTTTTCACTTGCTTCTTTTTTATTCCTGGGGTATTACTTGGCTTTTTAATAATTTTTTTCACCTTTTTTTAAAAAAATATACTGACTTCTCTCTACCTTATAAAACTATGGCATCCTGCAGCTAGAAGAAATCTAGGAAGTTGCCAGGTCCTGCTCATTGGGCATGGAACCAGATATTAAAACTATACTTCCAAGATTGTTGGTGCTTCCTTGCCAGATTCCAATCCTTTGCTATAGCTTATCCAATCAAAATGGTTTAAAGACTTTTGTTGTTGTTGTATTCTTAGTAATTTATTGATTGATGCTTGGGAAAGCTGAAGGAGAGGTACCAGAGGATCAAAATTCATTGATCAAAATTGATCAATTGATCATTGATCAAAATTCATTAAAATGCAAGTTTGCCTTCTTTGTAGCAATGACTCTGAAAAATATTCATGTCTCAATATTTTATTTGAAATCTTATAGTGAAGCAAAGAATTTCTGCTGTTCTTTTGTCAGGCATGAAACACCTTTTGTGAAGTGCTTAGTTTTCCCTTAATTCATCAGTTTCTCAAGTCTTGAATGGTGGATCACCATTATAAATATTTATTCAAAAGCCCTCTGCTAAACATAGTTTTTATATCGATTTCAAGTACAATTTTTATCTGCATATACACAGAGTAGAAGTACACAGCTCATAAAAGCACAGCTCAGTGAATTTTCACAAACTGAACAAACCTGTGTTACTGGCATACAGATCAAGAAACAAAGTAACATCAAAGCATTTGTGGACCTATTTTAAAACCTCCACAGTGGCTTTTCTACATCCTAGTGAGTCTCTGGGGGAGTCAAAATATGACTTGGATTTCCAGTGACCACCTAGAACTCACCAATAAATCCATTTCCTCTCTGGCTTCTTCAAGCCAATATTTTTCTTGGGTGTTAGGGGGAAAAATAAAAAAAACTAGTTTTGGAGTAAGAAGGTGTTAAGTTTTATTTGGAGCAAAGTCCATGATTAATAGAACCTGGGACTGGTCAGATTGGATAGAATGGGGGTGGGGAATGGGTTGCATCTTGTGCTTGGCTGGAGTGGCTGGCTCAAGCATAGTATGTCAAGAAGACACTATACAGGGCATAGTCATGGATGGGAACCAGAAAGAGGGAAGGTGGTAGCACTTCCAGGGAAGAGAGGATGCCAAAGATAAGCAGTGCTGACTTATCCCTCCCACCTGGATTTCTGGATTCCTTTCCCTGGTTTTGTATCCCTGGAGAAAGGATATAGGATTGAATCCAACAGCTTGTATCTTTGTCCCAGCCAAAATGTAATCTTGGACAAATTGCTTAACCTCTGTGAGTCTCAGCTTTCAAAAATGGAGATGGTAACTCAGCCTACCTGCTTCATGGAGTTATGCGCCAATCAAATGAGGCAGTGAATACACGTAAGAGCAGTGGCCTCATCCACAACATCCTTCTCTCTGCCAGTCTGGTACCCTTTTCTCATGTTACTATCAGGACAGCTTGGCAAACAAGTCCAGGGAGAGCAGAGGAGGGTCAATGCCCAATCCCTTGCTGTGGCTGCCTTCACTTCTAGGGCTCCAGATGTTTTATCTGAGGATTAAGGTTTTTCAAATCTCCCTTCTGGGAAAAGGGAAGCCACCAGTGTATATAGTTAATTGATCATTTCACTTGCTGGGACCAAGCCCTGGATCCACTCAAAAGCTGCCACATATTTAGGTCCAGGATGTGTTTCTCACCAACCCCTCCCAGTGCCTGAAACTCAACACTGGAGTCTGTTCCTGTTGGGGCAGACCCCTGCTGTTCCCATGTAGCTTGTCAGAAGAAGGTGGAGGCCCCATGGCCAGGAATGGCTAACACTTTACAGGTGTAGTTCTCAGTTTATACATTGGGCTTCCAATCCAGCCTGGATTTTTTGGTTGCAAACAATCAAAAACGACTCTTGCTGATTTACACAAAATAGAATTTATTTAAAAGGCATTGGGRAGCCCACAGAGTTCGCAGGATTGCTGGACAACATAGCCAATTGATTCTGCTATGAGGAACATGGCCTAAAAATCATATTGTATACTGGTACAGGAAAATACCTTGATGTCACCAAAGACATTGGCCAGCACGAGTTGCAGCTGCTGCCTCTGGAGACTGAATGCAACTRTCCCCATCACCATTGCCACCACCATTCTATATTCAGTCTGTTTGTCTCCATGTTTCTGATTCAACATTTGGGGTGGTGGGGCACATCATATCAGCAGGGCCCAGATGGAGCACCCAAGCCCCGGCAGCAAAGAAGCCTGGGAAGGATTATCGGCTCACTTCCATTTGCACCTTGGAAATTGGGCTCTGCCTCTTAAGACAGAGGATTCTCCAAACAGAGGAAGGCGGTTCCAAGGCCAGATAGCCAGAACAGGCGCCGTTTCCCCTCCAGTCTCATACTTCGATCTCTTGTGAACACTGTGTGAGCAAATCAGCATCCTTTAATCCACCTAGCCCTGGGACCCAGACACAGGCAAGTGTCTGAAGCTACAAATCCGAGGGCCAGGAAAAATGGATGGAGGCCCTCCAGCTGGCCCCACCTTGCCATACTCTCTGCTCTTAGCCAGGCAACATTTTTCCTCTTCAAAATTCTTAGAATAGGCACTTGGTATTTGTCTGATGGAAAAAGAAAAAGAAAAAGGAAAGCAAAGAAATTGTTGAAAGGAAGGAAAGGAGAAAAAAAAGGTGTCTTGGATAACCACCCTTCCCTCAAGTCCCTAGCTGTGTGTAGTATCAGTCACTTTATTGCTTTGGGCCTCAGTTTCCCCATCGGTTAAAAAAAAAAAGAAAAAACGGACCTGGCCTGGCTCATTTCCAGTGCTTCCAGCTCCAACACCGAGTGTCAAGGAACTAAAGGGTGCAAGGCTGTGCCGCCCAGGGCACATCATGGGGTTGGCTGCACATAATGACAGTGTCCCAGAGCTGGCGCTTGTGTAACAGGCAGATTTACCGAGAGGGGACGACTGTTTGCTCAGCAGCCGAGAAGACTATAATTAGACTGTCACAACATCAGCAAAAGTACAGGATCGATGTAATCAGAGAAGAAATGGAAAAGAACACGGCATCAGTCAGAGCCTCCAGTGGGTCCCCGTGGTTTCCGGAGCACTAATCGCCCAGGCGGGGTTCAGTGTCCTGCTTGTGGGTTTCCTCCTGAGTGATGACAAGGTTGGCTGAGGCCTTCYCCGCTGTCCCTCTGGGCCACCTGGTTCACCTCCTCCTCTTCCCCTTCTCCCCTTCCTCGGCTCACTGAATCTTAGGGACGAGAGGCAGGACTTGGAGCCAAAATTTGTGGCTGAGACACCTCTGATCCTCACGGTGTGTATTTGTGTGTGTGTGTGTGTGTGTGTGTGTGTGTGTGCGGTGAGGAAAGTCCATCTTCTTTTATCTTTTTATTTCAAGCTTCTTTATTTGTATTTGTTGGTACTAGGGATTGAACTCTGGGGTTACCACTGAGGTACATCCCCAGCCCCCCCCCCCTTTTTTTTCCTTTTAATTTTGAGACCAGGTCTCACTAAGTTGCCCAGACTGACCTTGTAGTTGCAATCCTCCTGCCTCACCCTCCTGAGTCACTGGGATTACAGATGTGCAACACCAAGCCAGTGAGACAGTTTCTTTAAAATGCAGATTCCTAGACCCAATCTCAGCCCCACTGAATCAGAAGCTCTGGGTGTAGAGCCTTGGGATTTGCATTTACCACATGCTCAGCTGAATTGATTTTAGCAGGCTGGGCGGCTCTCCCTCCTTGTGGTGGCCTGGCCTTCTTGGGCTTCTCTGTGCCTGGTGTGGTGGTTATTGCAGAGTCTGCCC